AAAAAAAAAAAAAAAAAACATATATTATACAAGTAAAGCTTAGAAGGAGAGACCTCCATAAATTCTGCACAATTTCCTCTTCAGGGTCTTTGCAACTAGCCCACTTTTCCTTCCACTTCTCCAAATTCACAATCATACTGGTATTGACGCACAACAGTACAGTCACATGACAACAGCAAATGCGTTGTTGAGAAGTTAATATAACATCAAACAACCCTAAAAGTTAAGATTATATACCATGAGTGATACTTCTGTAAATCCAAGTAATATGCCTTCTTGACAGCTTTGAGAGATGGCTCCTTGTGAAGGATATTATCAGGGTGAAGCTCCCCATAGCAAAGAGAAGATCCCCTGAAGCAACAAAGTGTGGATCATTGGAACACTGACTAACCAACGACACACCTCACTTAGCATAGTTTAATACGTCCATCAATCTGAACGCATGGTCTTTATATCTATGTAGACTAAGAACCTCAATCGTGGTAAACAATTGTCAAAAATAGTCCAAACTGAAAACTTTAAAGATAATATATCCTTGAGGCCACATATTTGAGAATCCTAGCATTTTAAAAGCATTAATATAGGAGGTAGCAACAATATTCATAAGCTTTCAAAAATATGTTTTGAGGAGCCTCTACAAACAGTTTCAACAAATTTAACACTGCAACAGAAAGGGCTCTCTCTCTCTCTCTCTCTCTCTCTCTCTCTCTCTCTATATATATATATATATATATATATATATATGTGCGTGGTGTATATAAAGGACTTCGCATTGTGGAAGTTACAAAGAATAAACAACTATGTGACCCATACAGTTAAGCAAGGAAATTATTAACTTTTTTTCAAAATATGGTCCCAAATGAAATCTTGCAAAAGATGTTAAGCAAAGCACTAGAAGAATTCGCATGTGCTCTACAAAAAAACATTTAAACATGTAAGACGTCACACGACAGCATTAGTAATCCGTTTAAAAATATATATGTATATATATATATATATTCCTGGTTCTGACAGTACATAAAGTCCATGATCTTTGGATGTAGTTTTGATACAGAGTCAACAACAGATTGATTCCTTCAAAGCAAATTAGACATGGGGAAAAATGAAAAGTCTTAGTCGTCTGAAGATATTTATTTTCGATGGGATGAAGAAAAACAACAATCCAACAAGGTGCACGTGCAGAATTATGTATTAAAAATATTACAAACAACAATTAGAAGCTTTCAACAGATTGGAAGTTCAAATTAGTATATTGATCATTCTTTCCAACAACATACAACTAACTCAGTAACAGCACAAAGCAACAGAATACATGCAAGACTTGCCATTTTACAAAAGGATTTCCAAATTGGAAGTCTTCCCCAGCAAGCAAGTCTTGAATGGTTATATCTGGTTCAGGTACTTTCGGAAGGAACTGTGAAAGAAAGTATCTTTCAGTGTCGGTCAAATTACTCTGCCAGACCTACAACAAGTTCCACATGAATGTATGAGTCTCAACATGAGAAAGAAATCACCTTAACAGTCTGTAATTCCCCAATGGGATCACAAATTCACAGTTACCTCATATGTGAGAACCTCTCGTAGATTTTCTAATTCAAATATCTCCTGAGGAACAGAGCAGACATCAGCCAGAATGCTGTGGCCAGCAGAACCAGGCTCAAGAAATGAAATCAAGTGCCTCCGTGCAATACCAATCTGCCCCCTCTTTGATACTACAGTTTTTTTCTTGTTATCCCACTCAAGGGAAATGTTTGGCATCATGTTAATGCCATGCTTCTGAACTTTAAGTTTCTTCCTGTTCACCTTACATTGCTCACGAGAAGTACATCCCACTAAACTGGCAGCATTTGCTCGCTTTTTCCGCTGATCAGCTACCATTTGGCCAACTCAAATTGCTCTACAACAAGACTTCCCAACAGAGCATTTGCAATATCGACTTCAACCAAAAAATATCCTACACATTCAAAATGATGCCACATCAGAAACAAAAAGAACGGGGGAGGGGGAAGGCCCAGATTATTTAATATAAATGACCAAGCAATCTGCCTCACAAAATTGAAGGATTAGTCCTCTAAAATCCCATAAATGTGGTTCAGGAACTCCTTCTTGTAGGCGGAACTGCACAAATGATCACAACTTCCTAATTCTCTGTAATGAAATATAAATTAACTTTAACAAGTAAATGCATTAACCACGCAAATTAAGGTGGCTCGCAAAAAAAAGATGATATCTTCAGTCTTCGAAAGGCAGTTGCAAGCAAATCAAATAATAATGCTACAATTGCATGCGAACAATACCGAAAATTATGCAGCACAATTCAGGGGCAGTTGATTATACAAGAAATTAACGCCCTAATGGGCAATTACAGGTTCATCCTCGAGGAGAAAAAGAAAAGGACGCAGAATCAAGGGGATAATAGACTTGAACTAAGGCACGGAAAACAATCCATCTTCAAGGCACAAAAATTAAAATAACAATAATAATAATAATCGCAATACAATTTCTGAGAAATAGCAAACTATATAAGCTAGAGAGAAAAAAAGGAAGAACTTACAAGATATAATAGAAGAAAGGAAAGCCCTAGAAATTGAAGAAACAGTCGAAGAGAAACGAGTACCTGTGAAGGAGGCGCAGATAACTCAAAGCAAATAATATTAAAATATATGAATTACACACAAACACGCAGATATAGAGCTATACGGAGA